GGGCGTTGGAGCTGCCGCTGGTGCTGAGCACGTGGGCGCTGGAGCTGCTGCTGGTGCTGCGGACCCTGGTGCAGGTGTCCCTGCTGGCTCTGGTGTTGCTGCTCTGTCTCGGCCGTACTTTGTTCCGCTCCTTCAGCAGGTTCTTGGCCAGCTTCCTCCTCCTTTTCCTCCTCCCACCTTAGCGTGTCCTCCGCCTGTCTAGCTGCAGTCGGCGTTACCGTCTGCCTCCTCTCTTCCTGGTCCTGCTCCTTACACTGGTCCGAGTGGAGGTCTTACTGAGCGGCGTGAGCCTCATCTCGTCTTGCGTCGCCTGAGTCTCGTCCTGAGTCGCCTGTCCGCACTGCTCTCTCTAGTAGTCGAGTCCAGCGTTAGCGTCTTCCTGCTGTCTCAGGCACTCACGGGATGGCGCTTCGTCCGTCCACTGCTCCACAGCGTGTCCCACTGCCGTCTCCTCCTGCTTCCTCTCTTCTTGCTCTTGCTGACCCTGGGTCAGACTCTCTTCGTGCTACTAGTCCTACTGTCACGCGTCTCCTGGCTACTGTTGTCACTGACCCTTCCTTTGACTCTGTTGCTGCATCTGCCTTAGTTGCTGAGCTTGTCGACTTTGCTGCTCGCTGTCGTCTAGACTACGCTGCTAACCTAGTTGCTGAGTCTGAGTCTGTCTGTCCTCCGTCCGTCGGGGGTGAGTGTGCTCTTGGCACTGACGTCCTTGAGGACAGGCAGGAGGAGTATGAGTGTTTTGCTGCCGCTTTGCCCCATGTCGTGTCTATGCTTGTTGCCCCTGAGGAAGACCCGGATGCACCAGACATCCCGACCCCACGCTCTTACGCAGAAGCGATGGCCGGTCCCTACTCCTCTCAGTGGCAGTCAGCCATGGACACACAGATGGCTTCCTAGAGGTCCACAGGCACCTACGTCGACGAGGTTCCCCCACCTGGGGCGAACATCGTCAGTGGCATGTGGATTTTCCGGGTGAAGCGGCCGCCGGGCTCTCCGCGTGTCTTCAAGGCGCGTTACGTTGCACGAGGATTCAGTCAGCGAGAGGGAGCTGACTTCTTCCAGACCTTCTCCCCGACCCCGAAGATGACCACTCTTCGGGTTCTGCTGCACGTCGCCGCTCAGCATGGCTACGAGCTCCACTCGCTTGACTTCAGCACTGCTCTCCTGCAGGGCAGCCTGCACAAGGAGATCCGGCTGCACCGTCCACCTGGCTTCACTGGGTCGTTCCCTCTTGGTACCCAATGGAGCCTCCGACGGCCAGTCTACGGTCTCCGCCAGGCGCCTCGTGAGTGGCAGGACACACTGAGGACTACGCTTGCGGCTCTTGGGTTCGCGCCTTCTACTGCTGACCCGTCGCTGTTTCTACGCACCGACACCTCACTGCCGCCGTTCTACGTCCTAGTGTACGTCGACGACTTGGTCTTTGCTACTGCTGACACTGTGGCACTCGCCCTCGTGAAGTCGGAGCTGCAGAAGAGACACACGTGCACAGACCTTGGTGAACTGACAAGCTATCTTGGCTTGCGGATCACCCGGGACAGAGCACGCCGCACCATCACCTTGACTCAGTCACACATGGTGCAGCAGGTCCTTCAGCGCTTCCGCTTCACGTACTCCTCGCCTCAGCCCACTCCTCTGCCTACCGGTCACTCGCTCTCAGCTCTGCCTTCGGATGAGTCCGTAGAGCCGAGTGGTCTGTACCCAGAGCTTGTGGGTTGCCTCATGTACCTGATGACCTGCACTCGACCAGACCTTGCATACCCTCTCAGCATTCTTGCACACTATGTCGCTCCCGGCCGTCACCAGAAGGAGCACATGGATGCAGCTAAGAGGGTGTTGCGCTACTTGTGCAGTACGTCGGGCATGGGGCTAGTGCTTGGAGGGCGAGTCCCAGTTGTTCTCACTGGGCACTCAGACGCTTCTTGGGCAGACGACCAGGCTACTCAGCGGTCGTCTCAGGGCTACTCCTTCAGTCTTGGCTCTGGTTCTGTTTCTTGGCGTTCTACTCGCTCTTCTTCTGTTCTCAGCTCCAGTTGTGAGGCTGAGATCTACGCCACAGCCATGGCGGCCCAAAAGTTACGCTGGCTCACCTACTTGCTGACCGACCTTGGAGAGCAGCCTCGTTCTCCTCCAGTGCTGTACATCGACAACAAGGCAGCCATTGCCTTGTGTGAGGAGCACAGACTGGAGCACAGAATGAAGCACATTGCTCTGCGTTACTTCCTTGCTCGAGAGCTGCAGCAGCGTGGTCAGCTTCGCCTGCGTTACGTGGCCTCTGAGGCCAACACTGCTGATGTGTTCACCAAGGCGCTTCAGCCTTGTGACCATCAGCGCTTTTGCACTCTTCTAGGTCTTGTGCCTTCTGTACCTCACTTGCTTACTTCTTGAGTCTGTTTGTACTGTGATCTCTATATATATACATGCATGTTTACTCTTGTTAGGTTGTGATCATTGTACCTTTTGCTCTATTATAAACCTGCATGTGAAGTGGTCTTGTGACCACTTGCTTGTGCTCGGAATTTGTGTGGTATCCTTGAGATCCACCCTGAACTTGTTTTGCCTTGCTTTGCCTTGACTGGTCTTGTGACCCCTAGTTCTCCCCACTTTGTCTATGGGGGTGTGTCAAACATTATATATGTTGTGTTAGTTTAGGCTACAGTGGGTTAGCCTATAGGGGGTACACAATTCTAGGGTTAGGTACTTGTACTCATTTCACTGCTAGTTCATCCATTCTTGTTCAGTGATTCCAACAAAAACTCGCTAAGACGAACGTGAACCCCGAGGCGACAGTGTGCCTTGATCGTAAACCCTGGCACATCAGGGAAAATCAAGCTCCAAACAAAAAAACTCTAATGCATCAGTGTGACTACCAAAAACCACCCTGGTAATCAGGGTATCATTGCGATTTACACTGTTAAAATAAGCACTGGTACGAGCGTTTGCGCGCGGGAAACGAAACTGGCGGCCTAGGTGGCGCACCGAGTTTCTGAGCCATATAGTTGGCTCTGCCGGAGCCGGCAAGTGAGTGAAATGCAGAGCATAGGCAATATTTTTTCCAGAGGGGACGGGAAGTCCGGGAGCGTTGGCGCTTCGGCAGGCATGGAAATACGGAGAAATGACGTCTAGGAATGTCAAGTATATTCCTTAATTGTAACAAACCCAGGTAAGGAAAAACGAAAATTCTTTAGACGGCACATTATTTTTGTGGGCAATACATTATTCACAGAAAATGCATACACGTTTTTGTGTTTATGTTTTCCTGATTTTTTATCACTCGAACCGAGTATCTTTTTAGATGATTATTAAGTTTATTCGGCTTCGGAAGATTGCGGTCCGAGGAGCGCTTCAGTGGTATGGTAGGAGCGTATCAAGACTCAAAGTACTGTACGTGTCAACTGGGCGGGTCTCATCTAATCCTGGCTGGGCAGGCAGGGATGCTGCAGCACGTGAGGCATTTCCCCCACAATCTGTAATGAGGCAGGCATGTCATCTCATCGCAGAGATCAAGCTGGTTGGGGTTCCCCGAGCAGCCAATGGAGGAGACGCAGTCAGCCCATACGTAAACCGAGCCTCAACGGCAGCCAAGGTGCAGTTTTGTTTGGATGGCATGCCATGCATGCAGGTCGCGGACACCTTTTGGTTGGATGACATTGCTGATCCCAATTTGATGTCGTACACACGGCGGCGACGTCCCACTGCCTTGGGCTCGGCATTACCGTGTCATGCTTCGTGCAGTGCCTCGTTCGTTTTGGCTCGGCTCGGGCACGTTCGTCCTTATGCGATGCAGCTTTGCGATATATGGCCATGCATGCTGCATGTTTCATCAGCCCATTCGACTGTATGCCAAGGCGGTAATGGTGGCAATGGGGATGGGAGATCGAGGGCCATGCCATGATCTAAGTTCGAATCTCCGATTCAAACATTCGAGAGCCACTTTGCCCAGATCTGCGTGCATGCGACATCTGCCCCGATCAAGCTTTCGATTGTTCGCACATTCAAACTGTCCGTCAAATTGCAAACGCAAGCCCTACCCATGCTAGTCGACTTCTGTCATCGTCATCGTTGGCCTTGGGAACTACCAGCCAGTACTACCATCCCCATAGTAGTTTTATCCAACGCTACCTTGATACCTCAAAGCAATCAGCAGTCTTGGCTTTCCAGTCTTGGATGAGCTAGCTTCACCTCCTAGAGATCTACGTGCGGCAGCGCCAGTGTTGACCTCCCGCTCGTAGCTCGCATCCCCGTGCTCTCAACGACCTTCGAATTTCCTCCAGTTAGGGGTTGCCATCCCTGTTGCGTCTCTTTTCCCCAAGGCACTCCCAATCTCTTGGGACGGCCCACAAACCTCGACCCTGCAATAAGAACCAACAGCACTTGTTCTCTCGGCACCCAGGCCATCGTCATGGCGGGTGAGGTGGCAATGCGCGATGTGGCTGACGAACACACCTACGCCGTCGATTCGTCGCGCGACTGCGCGATGACCAGCGGTCCCAGCAACGAGAATCCTCGCCAGGAGCGCGATCACTTGCTTCCGACGCAGCAGCCAGGCCAGCTGCGCGGTCGGAAGAGAGCGCCGCTGGTGGAAGTGACGAACCTGGCGGTCATGGGGGGCAGAGCACGCGCCACAGCCAAGCGCGCTGCCCTGAGGCCGCATCTCGCTGTACGTGTCTCGTCGCTCCACTCATGCGGCTCTCAGATCGTTCCTCTAAAGGAGCGCTTTCCGTAATGCTCCCATCCTGCGACGCCTACATCACAGCTGTGCATATCAGCACACCTTCCCATTGCACTCGTACAGCCCCGCCGTTTCCCTCCACTCCGCAATCGCGCTCTGCTGCTGTTACTGTGGCCTTCGTGCTCTGATTGCTGCGGTGCCTATTGTCATCGACGAGTGTATGGTCCGTCAAACCTAATTGCCCCGGAGGGCTCTCATAAGTTCCCGCTCGTTTAACCCCTCCGCATGCCCTCCTACTCCCCACCCACTCGCAGTTAGCATTGGCTGGATGGCAATTCTCCTTGTCTCGTCTTCTCTGCGCAACGCCGTTGCATTCATTGGCAAGCCTTTCATTGTTTTTCTCAGCCAAGTCGTTCCCTTTCCCACTTCCCTCGATCCACCTGCCAATTCCGCTCCTGCTTACCTTTCCACTCCGCCCGTCACCTCCCCCTTCACACTTTCGATTCTCCAGGGCTCGGCGGCGAAGCAGCGAGCAGCAGCGCTGGCAGCGGCGGCGAGGGACCGCCTGTTGGGTCGAAGGCGCTCCCTGGGGTCTTCCCCGATGTCAACCCGGCGTGCATCGCCGCGGGACAGACGGAGTCAGGCAGGACGGCAGCACCGGCTGGCGCACAAGCAGCAGGGGCAGCACAAGGCGCAGCAGCGCGTGCGGGGAAGCCGGTCACAGCAGCGGATCGAGGCGCGGCAAGGCACGTCGTCCGCGCAGCTCACCACTTCCTCGCAGCCTCTCTCGGGGGTTACCACGCTGAGGCTACCCCTTACGACGCCGTGCGACGACGACGACAAGGCGCAGCTGCCGTGCGAGTCGGTCGCAGCACTCCCAGCGATGCCGTACGAGAGAGCCGCGGGTGGCGCGAGCGAAGCGGGCGTGGCGAGCTGCAGGAGCGACAGCGAAAGCAGTAGCAGCAACGGCGGCGGTGGCGGCGGTGGCGCGTCCATCGGCCGTGTTCACGACGTCGTGGGCAGCGAGCGGGGCAGCAGCGCCCGCGCGGACGACGCCAGTCGGTCGTTCAGCGGCAGGAAGAGGCCCGCGGGGGAAGGCGCTTCACCAGCGGAGCGGGCGGCAGACGAAGCGCACATCTGCCGAGAGCGGGCGCGCGGAGAGCCGTCGTGTGTGCAGGCGGAAGCGCACATGGGCGGTAACGTTGCGAGGGGCGAGGAGGAGCGCCGTGGGGATGCGAGTCGCGGCAAGGCGATGGCCGTGGATGACGCGTTGACGATGACGAGAGGTGCGGCGTCTGCTGCGAGCCACGGCCCCTCCGACCTCACCAAGCAACCCGTGCGAGGTGCGCGGCTTGCGCGGCTGTTGGTGTGCGTGGTCGGCAGATGCTCTGGGAGGGAGGGTGTGGAGTGAAGGGTTGAGGGGTTGGTGCCCTGACTGACTCTCTCTCTCTCTCTCTCTCTCTCTCTCTCTCTCTCTCTCTCTCTCTCTCTCTCTCTCTCTCTCTCTCTCTCTCTCTCTCTCTCTCTTTCTCTCTTTCTCTCCCTCTGGCTCTCTCTCTCTCTCTCTCCCTCTCTCTCTCTCTCTCTCTCTCTCTCTCTCTCTCTCTCTCTCTCTCTCTCTCTCTCTCTCTCTCTCTCTCTCCCTCTCAATCTCCCTCTCACTCTCTCTCTCGCTCTTCCCCTCTCCCTCCCTCTCCCGCACACTCTCTCTTTCGCCCCCCTCTCTCCCTCTCCCTCCCGTCCACTCTCTTTCTCCCGCGCCTCGTTCGTCCACTCACCCCTTCATGCGCGCCCCTTCGTCGCCACTACGCGCGCGCAGAGCCTCAAGGCGTCCGGGGGCCGTCACCGCCAGCCGATGCGCTACCTAGCACCAGCACTGCCGTCCCAGCACCTCTCCCCGCTGTTCTGCCAGGGCAAGCCGTCTCATTGCCGCAGCAGGCGAGCAGAGCGGCCCCGGGGAAAGGGGGACATCGAGGGACGACGGTGCGGGACATCGACTCGTCGTCGGATCCGCAGCTGTGCGGGCGATACGTGGCGGACATCTATGGCCACCTCCGCGCCGCCGAGGTACGCCAGTGCCGCTCGCCGTGGCGATTGCGCGTGGGCCGTGGTGTTGGGGAAGGGGGCACGGGGAGGGAGAGGGGGGAAGGGGAAATGGTGGGATGGGAAGTAGGTGCTTGGGTGGGTGCCATGTCCCCCGTGGTACGGCGTCCACGCCCTGCTGCTGCTTCCGTGCCTCCATCGGTCTCCGTTGCCTTTCCCTTCCTGACCCCCCATCCACTCTCTCTCCCACTCTCTTCCGTTCCCCTCTCTCGCTACGTCTCCTCCTAGCTCATGCTTCCTCGTGCGTCTCTGTTTGCATTCCGCCCGATTCAAATCTCCTTGCCTTCCTGAACCCCTATCCCATCGCCGCGCCTGTTCTTATCCCCTCATCTCGCTCCCTCCGCCCCTCCCCCGTGCCCCCACGTGCGCGCGGTGCAGCAGCGCAGCCAGCCGCGCGCGGACTACATGGAGGCGGTGCAGAAGGACGTGAACAGCGGCATGCGCACCATCCTCGTCGACTGGCTCGTTGAGGTGCGCCCGCACACGCGCAGAGGGCGAGTGGGAAGGGGAGGGGGCGTGAGAGGGGGGGGGTAGGGGGAGAGAGATGGAGGGCGGGGTTTAAGGGGAGGGTGCATGCATGGCTCATGCTCGTTCCACATGTGTCGTCACCAGTCCGTCTCGCCACGCGCCTATCTCTGTTGAAACCTCGCATGAACCTCCCTTAGTGCCTCGCTTCAACCCCTTGCTGTCCTCCCTTCTGCCGCTCTCCGCTCACCATCCATATCCGCTACTTTCTCTGTCCCTCTTGCCGTGCGCGCGTCCTCTCACTGGTGGGTGCGTGCATGTGTGCATGGGAGAGCAGGTGGCAGAGGAGTACAAGCTGGTACCGGATACGCTCTACCTCACGTGCGCCTACCTGGACAGCTACCTCTCCGCCCACACTGTGCCACGCAGCCAGCTGCAGCTGCTCGGCATCTCCTGCATGCTCATCGCCTCGTAAGCCTCCACGTTTGCGAGTCTCTTTTCCAGGATTCGTTGCCCGGAGGCGCCAATCACCTCATGTATCCTTGCCCATGTGTGTGCGTTGGTGCTTGGCAGCAAATTTGAGGAGATCTATGCGCCACAGGTGGACGAGTTCTGCTACATCACCGACAACACGTACACCCGCCTCGAGGTACCCACCACACTCACTCCCACACGCACTAGCCGTTTTTGCTGTGTGGTAGAAGCTGCAGACTTGCATGCGATCCCAATCGTATCTCAATCTGATCCCAGCCACTATCGCTCTCGCCCTGTTCGTGTCCGTGTCCCCGTGTATCTTCTCCCCCTCCTCGTCCGCTGCTCCGTGCAGGTGTTGCAGATGGAGAGCCGAGTGCTGAACCATCTGGCGTTCGACCTGAGCAAGCCCACCATCAAGAGCTTCCTCAGGTGACCCACCCACCCACCGACTGCAAGCAGCATTGGCATTCGTGGGGCGCATGGGCCGAGTGGGTGTGTAGGGCTTATGGGTGCGGATGACGTATGGGTGTGACTGGCATGTGGGTGTGCAGGGCGTGTGTTTGAAGAAGCGTAAGACCACCATGCTTTCTTGTGTCTTGCTGCTAGAGTGCTTCCATGGGTACCCACTTGAAACACTCGCTTCATTCTAATGCTCCCTACCCTTGCATTTTCTCCCCCTTCTTGCTTTGCATCTCTACAGGAGGTACATTCGAGTCGCCCAAGCCAGCCTCAAGGTACACATGCTCCTCTTACTTCTCTCCGCTTTCCCACCCGTTTCACGGCGTGGATAACTATGTTCAATCCAACCCTGTTGGATTCATCCCTATGGTATCTCGTCCACATTATATCTACTGCAGCTCTGGCTACTGAAATCGATCACCCACCTCCCCATCCGCCTTTCTCCGCAACCCCCATTCCGTCCAATCTATTGTGATCGCCATGCATCAGGACCCCTCGCTCAAGCTGGAGTTTCTGAGCAATTTCTTCTCAGAGCTAGCCCTCACAGACTACTCCTGCCTGCGCTTCAAGCCCTCGTGCCTTGCTGCCTCCGCCGTCCTCCTCGCCAAGCTCACTCTCTTCCCAACCCTGCCTCCCTGGGTACGCTTAACTCCCCACCCTCACCCCAGTCCCCTCCTCCCTGCTTTCTCTCTCCTTCGCTTGTCCGATTGCCCTCGCTCGAGCTCATGCTTCCTGCCTCTGCTGTCTCCTATAGTCAATATGTCCCCTCCCCTTTCCATGCTACTGTGTGCGTGCGTCCCCCCGTTTCCCCTTGACTTCTGTAGACCGCTGCTCTGGCGGCTTGTTCGGGGTATGCGTGTGCTGACCTGCGGGAGTGTGTAGCATGCCTGCATGCACTGCATTCCTCCAACGGACGCGCACCGCCCACTGCCGTGCACCAGAAGTATTGTCAGGCCAAGGTGTGTGCCATGTGACAGGTGCTGCGTGCCGTGCGCGTGGGCTGTATGCTTTGTGACGGACAGGTTGCTTGGAGACGTTTCCTGTGGTGTTTTCTTTCATACTTGTCTGCGGCCTTTCTTCCAATTGCGAGACCTGAGCCTTGTGCCTCCCATTCCCATGTCCCCTTTTACGTCCTCTCCACCTCTCATCACCTTGATCCATGTGTGCAGTTCATGGCTGTCGCCTCCATCCCCCTGCCCGCACTACCACCAGAGCCCCACTCCTCACGTCACTCCCCAGCCCACTAGCTGTTTCTTGCAGTAGCAGTGTAGCAGTGGCAGCAGTAACAGTAGCCATGTAGCCCTAGTACGGTACAAGTAGCAGCAGCAGCAGCAGCAGCAGCAGCAACCTCTGCACGCAGTGGCAGTGCTCTAGATGCATGGGAGCAGCACCCAGCAGGAGCAGGTGACTGGTAGGTCTACTGTGTGGCACTGGGAATCGAGTAGGCAAGTGGCGGCATCAGCGGTGACTTGCAGCAAGCTACCATTGGCTGAGTCGTGCGGCTGCTGCTCTATGTATTGATGATTGCATAGGGAGTGCGCAAGCATTCAGTTTGGTGGGATTTTTTTTTGGACATTTTTGGTGTTATTATTGTTTTTTGGAGTGCATCTCAACTATACAATGGTTATTGACGGTACCATACCGTATTGACCCGACTAATAGCCCCCCCTGAAATTATTGATCCCTGGGTTGTTGTTTGGGGCGGGTTTAATGCTATCTCCACTTTCGTAATAAACCCTATTCTTTGTAATGAATCTGCATTAGGGTGTATTCCGCTGTGGACTCATGTCCAAATCGATGTGTCCCAATCGTTTCTACCGCACTGCATCGTATTACACCGAACTGCAACCTAGTGTCGAAATTTTCGCGTCTCTGGTTTAGTTTGGTTCGGAGCGGTACACTCGATTGGGACACATCGATTGGGACATGTGTCCACAGCGGAATGCATCCTTAGACCCCCGTTTGTGTAAGCACTCCAGTATCGAGCTGAGCAATAGGAAGGAAGGTCGAAGTCGGGGTACCGGTACTTGAAATTTCTGGCTGACATCAGCGAACTTGACCACACGCAGGTTTTGCGCCAGCGCACGGTTGAAATTCGCCCCTGACGCGATACTTGAAATGAGCAATCACGCTGTAACACTAGATTTCTGCATGGTTTATGTTACGATATGGAATAGTTGAATAAACATTCCAAAAGTAACGAATCCTTAACGCGAAGATGACTGCAGCGAGGACGAAGACTGTAAGGAAAATCCATTTTCCATACTGGGGTTTACTCAACTGCGTACAACCCCAACTTTCGGAAGTGCACGTTCGACCGATTTACTTGCTGCCGAAGCAACCCCGCATCGCCTTAGGCGTTCCTTTGCCCAACCTGCACCCAACCTCGTGTTCCCGAGGTTCCTGTCCAGGACTATTTTTTTTTTGTTTTTAGCAACCCTTATCATCAGTCCTGCACCTTTGCAAAACCCTGATTATCAATGTGACCCCTCGGGAAAATTCTTATCCACCAGGGTTTTCCATAGTTTCGAAAAAAATACCCTTAGGCCACATTGTAACAGTTTTCAGAACCCTGATGAAATGTTTCTACTGAAGTTCTGAATAAGAACACGGGACATACCGGATTCGATCCCGAGTATTCTTACTTCCGAAGACCAATCTACTGACTGAGCCGCTTAATGCAAGGGTGCACTATGGGGGGGTGCAGGCAAAGGTTTATCACTTGCCTCCACGTGGTTACCCTATTTGTGTTGGGAGTCCGAGCGAACCCCAATTTTAGTGTAGGCGGACTTGCGCGGGTTGTCTCTCCACCGTCGTAAATTGCGACGGGCCAACTCAGAGTTAGGAACTTGGAGTCACACCCGGCAGTTTCTGAACCATAACGCGCATGACGTACCACAATACACACATTCTCCACTGGGTCGTTATGACAATAAACTAGACAGCAAGATGATCGTCATAACGTAGCTACTATGCCCGCCCATCGCTTTTATCGCGCCCAAATATTGTTCATCTCGCTCGCACTTAGACGCTTCCGCTTGTCATACATCGCAATAACATCACCCCCAAAAACCACCCCTAGGAAAGAGGTTGACCCACTATATAATCTCGTGGTTTCATTGTATTGTCAGCAGGCCTCTGGATAGGTTTGGAAGCACTCTTAGTCGAAAGGGCAGTTTGCCAAAGCTGGTCTTTCAGTAAGGGTGGGGCAGCCATGTCAGTCTTGTTTATCAGTGTTGGCTGCATTGTTACTCGTGCTCGTTAGTGTGCTGTGGTCCTCAGTTAGTTGTACCATTTTTTTTGAGCAACTTTTGATGTTTAGGTTGACATGACGTGCAAAGTACGATAAAATATATGACTAGAACTAGAACAACAGAAGGACCTACATATGGGATGGTCTGGCCAGGCCCGGTTCCAGCAGAATTATCCTAGCAAGGGAGCAGAGTAGCACACAAGTCAATACAAAAACTCCTGGGCAGGACGGCGCTTCTTGCTAGCATTGAACATGGCTACCACATTCACCCAGTTCAGACCATGACTGGGCAGGAGGGCTGCAATCATCAGATCGCCCAGTTTGGCGTCGCCCAGGCAGGTCCGTTTCCACGTCTTGATACGGTTCTGGCGACTGAAGCCATGCTCGCACTCCACCGTGCAGAGGGGTAGCACAGCTACGGCCTGCCACAGCTGCACAAGGTTCGGGTACGCTTCCGTGTAGTCAGTTGACTGGAGCATGAGCGAGAGCGACTTGTGGAAGGTCATGTTGCCGTGGTTGGTATCCATGGTGTGGAGAAACAACGGTAGCTCCCTCTCGCACGCCTTGAAGCACACACCTGCCAGGATGGGAGAGCAGAGCAGTGAGAGGGGCGATCGGGGCATATGGGAGGTGTTTAACAGCACATCAAGGTACAGACACAGAGCAGACAGTACATTGTAGGCACAACCAGGTGGCGTACCAAAGAGGCGATGGTGAAACATGTGGTCTAGCATGCCCAACCACTCGCGGCACTTCTTCATCCGCTGCGCGTTGTCGTCGGGATAGCACGACGGCCGGAAAAGCTTGGAGCCGGCCAGGTTCTTGAGGTCTTCCAGGGGAACTCGAGTCGCGCAACGCAGACCCTCGCAAACTCCTGGCACAACGCCTCGCAGGAGTAGTAGTCCCCGCCAGTCTTATGGCCTGGGATCTTGCGCTCGTGAAGCTCGAACTCGTGCTCTGCAGCGTCGCCGTTTTGGTCCACGCCTTTGACGGTGACTTCGCGGTGCTGGAGGTTGCCGTGTTTCATCAAGAACGCGCAGAGCAAGGGCGACTGATCGTTGCCGAAACGATCCTCACAATCCACGTAACGCACCTTGATCGTCCGGCAAGCGAGCGACACCTCCCCCGCGACCACCGTGATGTCAACCTGTGAGTGGGGGTGGGATGAATAGTTGCTGCCAGAGGTTGATGTACAATGGGTCAGAACGGCGCACAACAACCGCCACTTACAACAACCGGGAACATGGCAGTGAAACAACTGCAAACTTGTACAACCAAAACACTCCACATGTCACCTGCTACTTCTGAAACTTGGCGTTGAGCTCGTTGAGCACGGCAAGAATGTCTGCAAGGAAGAAAAGCATGAAGTGGAATTTGAAAGAGGTGACCGTTTCATAGAGCGCATGCTTGAAATCGTGTAGCAGGACGATCGCCGCCGGCAGAACCTTGGCGAACCGCTTAACCGCCTCTCCTCTAGAGAGCCATCGCACGTCGTGGATCCTCTGCAGCTCCAATTTGGTTTCGCAGATGTACTCCTGAAGGAGCTCGAATCGCCGGTGATGGTTGCTCGACCTAGAAAGCTGCTCCGCCACGTTGCGCACCGCCTGGTCTATGATGTTGAACCCCGTCACCTTCTTAGTGACATCCTTCGCGGCCAACGCCTCCCTGCTCAAGGTAGAACAGAGGAAACGAGCGATTGAAGTGAGTGGGCAGTACAGGATCAACACTACACACCTGTCATAACGCCAATAACACAGACGGACTTACCGATGTGGGATGTAGTGGCACGACACGAGATAGGGATTCCGCAGCTGGAGTCGCGCCACAACACCATTGTTGGTGCCCGTCATGAGTCTAGCGCCGTCGGTGCTGATTTCAACGATCTTGGACATGTCAATGCCCACGGCGTCAAGGTGGGTCAGTAGCACGTCGACGAGACTTGCCGCGTCACATTTGTTAACTGTCAGCAGCACGAGGTGTTAGTAGATCTGCACTGTGGATGCCTGATTGATCCTGGAGAGGGTTACAGGCGCGTTCGCCGGGGGGGTTATGGGCGCACTGACCCGCTACTCAAAACAAGCCCTTTTGTCCCAATGGTCTAGTGGTTGGGATTCTGACATGGTATCAGAGTGGTCTCGGGTTCGATTCCCGATGTATGCACAAGTAGGCCGTTGCCGCTGTGCTTAGTCTTGGGCCCCCCAGTGTGGGGGGGTGTCAGTAGATTTGCAGTGTGGATGCCCGATTGATCCTGGAGAGGGTTACATGCACGTTCGCCTGGGGGGTTATGGGCGCACTGACCCGCTTCTGAAACAAGCCCTTTTATCCCAATGGTCTAGTGGTTGGGATTCTGACATGAGGAACTCAAGATCCCTCCTTCATGAAGTGGACGTAGATGATCAGGTGGTTGCCGCGTGCCTTGTCAGTACTCTCATCGAGCTGAATGGAGATGTACGGGCTCGCCTCGATCTGCTTCAGTTGCTCTTGCCGCATGTACTTTGCGGCATCATCTAGTAGCTCCCCGAAACCGTACCTGCATGATAGAAGCACATAGGTTAGCATGTTGCCAATCAAGTCAGTTGTAACGGAACAAGTACAACGACAGCTCGTACCTTGAAACTTACTCCGAAAATTAGTTTTCCTTGGAATCCAAGAGAAGGTTCGGGACTCCGAGCTCAGCCATGAACTTGATGGTGCCCACGTAGGCGGTGATTGGTGCCTCCGACTTGCAGATGTACACGGTAGTCTTGAGAGCGGTGATGATGTGAAGCGTGGTGCGATCCAACCCCTCGAACTCGCTCAACAACGTTTGACGAAGCTTCCGGCTCTCCTTCGACTTGATCTCGACGTCTGCGTTCTGGTGTGCGGTGGAGCGCTGGTGCGTCCAGATGCTCCCCTTTTGCATGTCACGCCCTCCATTGCCTCCCTTGCCATAAGCCGTTTTCGCGCCTTCAGCTCCATGTTCCAAACACGCGCTGCATCTCAAAATGGGGAAGC